ATAGTACAATTTCTTATGGTACAGTAGTATTCCATTACAATCATATACCAAAACTTGTTCAGCCATTTCCCAATTGATGGACATCCCCTCAATTTCCAATATTTTGCCACCAAAGAAAAGGCTGCTAGGAATATTTTTGCACATGCAGGTTCTTTTCCCTTTTTAAAAACCTCTTTGGGATACAGACCTAGTAGTGGCATTGCTGGGTCAAAGGGTATGTGTGGCTTGAAAGCCTTTTGAGTATACTTCCAGTATACTCTTCCAGTTGCTGTCCAAAATGGTTGGATCAGTTCACAGCTCTATCAGTAGTGTATTAGTGTCCTAATTTTCCCACATCTCCAACATTCATATTTTCCTTTTCTGTCATATTAGCCAATCTGATAGATGTGAGTTGTTACCTCAGAGTTGTTTTAATTTGCATTTCTCTAATCTCTAGTGATTTAGAGCATTTTAGCTTTGATTTCTTCATCTGCTTGTTCATATCTTTTGACCATTTATCAATTGGGGAATGACTTGTATTCTTCTAAATTTGACACTGTTCTCTATATATTTGGACATCTCTGATTTTCTTGATGCAGTGGATAGAATGCTGGGCCTGGAGTCATCTTCTTGAGTTCAATTCTGGCTTTGGACACTTATTAGCTGTGTGACCCTGGGCAAATCACTTAACCCTGTTTGCTTCAGTTTCTTCATCTGTAAAATGATCTGGAGAAGAAAATAGCAAACCACTCCAGTATCTTTGCCAAGAAAGTCCCAAATGGGGTCCTAAGTCAGACACGACCAAAATGAGTCAACAACAGAAATTTTCTTGAAGAGATCTTTTGTCTTTCCTCTTTTATTGTTGCCTTCTATTTCCTTGCATTGCTCATTTAAGAAAGCTTTTTTTTATCCTTGTTATTCTCTGGAATTCTGCATTCAGTTGGGTATATCTTCCCTTTTCTCCTTTCCCTTTTGCTTTCCTTCTTTCCTCAGCTATTTGTAGAGACTCATCAGACAGCTATTTTGCTTTCTTGTTCTTCTTTTTCTTTAAGATGCTTTTTGTTGCTGCCTCCACAGTATCGCCAGCTTTTGTCCATAGTTCTTTAGGCATTCTGTTTACCAGATCCAATCCCTTAAATCTAGTTATCACCTCCACTTCATATTCATAAGGGATATTATTTAGGTCATAGCTAAGTCTGATAGTTTTCTTTACTTTCTTCAATTCCAGTCTAAATTTTGTAATACGAAGCTCACGATCTGAGCCACAGTCAGCTCCAGATCTTGTTTTAACTGACTGCATAGATTATCTCTACCTTTGGCTGTAAATGTATATATAATCAGTCTGATTTCTCTATTGACCATATGGTGGTGTCCACGTGTAGAGTCCCTTTTTGCGTTGTTGAAAAAGAGTGTTTGCTATGACCGGTGAGTTATCTTGACAAAAGTTTTTTAGTCTTTGACCTGCTTCATTTTGTACTCCAAGGCCAAACTTGCTGTTACTCCAGTTCTCTTGTCATTCCCTACTTTAGCATTTCGATCTCCTATAATGAATGTGACATCTTTTTTTTTTTGGTGATGTTGAATGGTTTGCCTTGGATTTGAGTAGATATCATTCAGTCATTTTTGAGATTATACTCCATCCAGTACTGCTTTTCTCACCTTTTTATTGACTATGAGGGCTACTCCATTTCTTCTAAGGGATTTTTGCCCACAGTATTGTATGTAGTGATCACCTGAATTAAATTAATCCATTCAAGTTCGTTGACACCCAAGATGTTGATATTTAATCTTTCCCTCTCCTATTGGATCACATCCAGTTTATCTTGGTTCATAGGTCTTACATTCTAGGTTTCTAACCAGTGTTGATCTTTATAGCATCACACTTTCCTCTTGTCATCAGACACATCTGCAGCTGAGCTTCCTGTCGACTTTGGCCCAGCCACTTCATTAGTACTGGAGCTACTTGTATTTGTCCTCTGCTCTTCCGCACTGGCGTACTGGACACTTTCCAACCTCCTCTTCCAGTGTTGTCCCTTTCATTGTTTTAATACTGTGCATGGGGTTTTCTTGGCAAAGATACTAGAGTGGTTTGTAATTTCCTTTTCCAGGATCACCTTTGGTCAGAACTCTCCCCTGTGCTCTGTCTGTTCTTGGGTTGCCCTTCGTGGCATAGCTCATAGTTTCGTTCAGCTATGCAAGCCCCTCCGCTATGACAAGGCAGTGATCCAGGAGGGGAATCAACCTCTGACAATTTATTTATTTTTAGTTTTCAACATTCACTTCCATAAGTTTCTGAGTTTTAAATTTTCTCCCTTCCACTCCCCCCACCCCCAACAAGATGATGTGCAATCTGGTATAGACTCTTAGACAGTTATATTAAGTGTATTTTCCCATTAGTCATGATGTAAAGAACAATTAGAATGGGAGAAACCATGAGAATGAAGCAGTAAAACAAAACAACAAAGGAAAAGGAGAGCAAATAGTATGCTTCTATCTGCATTTAGACTACATAGTTCTTTTCTGGTTGTGAAAAGCAGTTTCCATTGTGAGTCTTTTGAAGTTGTCTTAGGTTCTTACATTGCTGTGAAGAGCCAAGTCTGTCAAAGTCAGTCATTGCACAGTGTGGCTGTTACTGTGTACAGTGTTCTCATGGTTCTGCTCATTTTACTCTGTATCAGTTCATGTAAGTCTTTCCAGGTTTTTTTGAAGTCTGCCTGCTCATCGTTTATAATAGCACAATAGTGTTCCATTACATTCATATACCACAACTTGTTCAGCCATTCACCAATTGATGCACATCCCCTCAATTTTCCATTATTTGCCACCACAAAAAGAGCTGCTATAAATATTTTTGTACATGTGGGTCCTTTTCCTGTTTTTATGCCCTCTTTGGGAGACAGACCTAGAAGTGGTATTTGCTAGGTCAAAGGGTATGCACCATTTTATAGCCCTTTGGGCATAGTTCCAAATTGCCCTCCAGAATGGTTGGATCATTTCACAACTCCACCAATAATGCATTAGCGTTCCAATTTTCCCATATCTCCAACATTTATCATTTTTGCTGTTTTGTCACGTTACTCAATCTGATAAATGTAGTGTGGTACCTCGAGTCGTTTTGATTTGAATTTCTCTAATCAGTAATGATTTAGAACATTTTTTCATATGACTATAGATAGCTTTAGTTTCTTCCTCTGGAAACTACCTGTTCATATCCTTTGACCATTTATCAATTGGGGAATGACTTGTATTCTTATAAATTTGATTCATTTCTCTATATATTTTAGAAATGAGGCCTTTATCAGAGACACTAGTTGTAAAAATCCTTTCCCAGTTTTCTGATTCCGTCCTAATCTTGGATGTATTTGCTTTGTGCAAAAACTTTTCAATTTAATGTAATCAAAATTATCTATATTGCTTTTCATAATGTTCTCTATCTCATGTTTGGTCATAAATTCTTCCGTTTTCCATAGATGTGAAAGGTAAACTATTTCTTGCTCTTCTAGTTTGCTTATACTATCAGTCTTTATATCTAAATTATGTACCCATTTCAACTTTATCTTGGTATAGGGTGTAAGATGTTGGTCTATGCCCAGTTTCTGCCATACATTTTTCCAATTTTCCCAGCAGTTTTTGCTAAATAGTGATTTCTTATCCCAGAAGCTGGAGTCTTATCAAATAGTAGATTAGTATAGTCATTGACTGTAGTGTCTTACATACCTAACCTATTCCACCGATCTACCACTCTCTTTCTTAGGTGACTCTTACAGTTAATACCTGGCAGCTAGAGGTACAGTAAATAGAGTGTGGAATTTGGGATTAGGAACACCTGAGTTTAAATCCTGTCACAGAATTATATTCACAGTCTGTGATTAAGTCCTTTTCTAGCTTGATAGCATTGACCAAAGCTTATACACCACTGGCATAATCTTTGTTACCCCATTTGTTACCTATTTCCCTTTGATATACATTAACATTGTGTCCTCACAACTACCCTGTGAGATAGGTAATGTATGTATAATAATAATATGTATTTATTTATATAATATAATACAGTATATAATATTATATATTATTTTATAACATAAATAATATTATTATATGATATATAATATTATAATTTATATAGCATTTTAAGGTTTGCAAAATGCTTTACAAATATCGTCTCATTTGATCCTCACATGAACCATGCCACAATGAAGTATCAGATGACTTTGTAGGGAGAACTTTGTTTTTTATATATATATATATATATATATATATATTTTTTTTTTTTTAATCCTAAATTTAAATATAACAACATGTATTGTTCATTGTATATTCATGAAAATTACTACTTTGTGTTGAATTCTTATATAAATCAAAATAATAATTTTTTCTTTACTAAGGTAGCTGATTATGTGGTTAAGATTTTGGAGGAAGCAGCAAGGTGTAATGGACAGAGCACTGGACTTGGAGTTAGGAAGATATGAGTTCAAATCCTGCCTCTGACACTTACTGGCTGCGTGACCCTGCATAAGCTACTTAACCTCTGCCTGCCTCAACTTCCTTATCTGTATTATGAGGGAGTTAAACTAGATATTCTCTGTAGTCCCTTCCATGATTTTGATCCATGATTTTGAAATGTTCCTTTAGCTTGTTATAAGATGCTAATTATGTACAAATGATGTTAAGATAATTATATTATATACTTACACATTTTAAAATGTTAAATTTGAGACAGCAGATTTAGTCACGTCTCTGTGCCCATCAGCATGTTAAGTGGCAAGCCAAAAGGAAGAGCAATAGATTAGCTTTCATTTATTATTCCTTCCCTGAGGATTTTCTGCAAATACCCCTCCCCCTCAACTTTCGCTTTAAGGAAGCAAAAAGCAAGCTCTCTTTTGAAAACAAGTTGGAGATTATTGTTTGTAACAAAGAGTACATTATTATTATGATCAAACCTATCAGGATGAAAATATCTTTTTAATCAAAATTTGAATTTCACTAAATAATAACCATTTCCCCTTTAAATTTTGTTTCAGATATTATCAATACATTAGGCATTTTACATAACAGAACTAAGCCTAAGAAACTTTTAAACTTCCTAGAATAGAGGACATCATTACCACAAGAAGCAATCATGCCTGGAGAAGGAGGAAAATCAGATATGGACCGAATTGGCCTGTTTAGTGAAATGGAGTATATTACTATTGGGGACAAATATGTGTCACCATATAATCGTAAGTATATTTTATTTCATTCATTGTTAAATAACTGGTATTTTTTTTTTACATAAAAGTTTCAGATTTAATGGTTGAGGTTAAGAATAATAAATGTTTTAAACTAGCACTGTCAAACTCAAACAGAAATGGAGGCCATTAAACCATACATAAGAATCCCTGTAGATCACATATTGACTTAGAAAACTGCATATTAACATTATCTGTGTTCTGTTATATTTTTATTTATTTTGTTAAAGATTTTCCAATTATATTTTAATTTGGTTGTAAAGGTACTTGGGAGTGTTATGGGCAGCATTTGGCCTGTGGCCCACGTGTTTTGTGCCTCTAACAAATATTCACACAAATTAACAAGTATTTTAGAGAATATGTTCTAATGTTGTTTAAGCTTAAGACCTGAAAGAGTGGGGCTGTTTTATTGTTACCCATTTCCCTTTGATATACATTAACATTGTGTCCTCACAACTATCCTGTGAGATAGGTAATGTATGTATAATAATAATATATATTTAGTAATATAATATATAATATAATATAATATAATATATTATTTTATAACATAAATAACATTATATGATATATCATATTATAATTTATATAGCTTTTAAGGTTTGCAAAATGCTTTACAAATATTGTCTCATTTGATCCTCACACGAACCATGCAATAGTTATTATCCCCATTTTACAGATGAGGAAACTAAGGCAAACAGAGGTTCAGTGACTTGTCCAAGGTCACCCAGCTGGCAGGTGTTTGAGGCTGGATTTGAACTTGAGTCCTCCTGACCCCAGGCCTGGTGCTCTGTCTACTGAGTTGCCCAGCTGCCTATGTTATCAGCCCATATTAGAAATGAGAAACCTAGACCTGAAAGATGTTAAGCACCTTGCCCCTATCACAGAGTTAAGAAGCCACAGAAGAGGAATTTGACTGGAAGTCTCCCCTAACTCCAGGTTCCAGACTCTTGCTATTGGCAGCATTCTGTTGCAGTTCAATAGGAAAAGCCCATTGAGAACTGAGAGCCTCTAGAAATGACCTTGGTTGTCAAGCTGAGTGCTTTAATCATTAAAGAGATAAAAACTGATATTAGTCACCATAAAGCAATAATTAGTGTTGCTCTGATTAAGGGTTGAATGGCTTCAAGATCTGATTGTGTCCATTACTGGTACAGAGAAGGAAAAACAAAACTGGAGAATTAGAGTTGGATGGAGACTGCAATCACAGAATCAGAGTCTTCAAAATGAAAAGGTCCAGGGGCAGCTAAATGGAGCAGTGGATGGAGCACCGGCCCTGGATTCAGGAGGACCTGCGTTCAAATGTGGCCTCAAATACTTCACACTTACTAGTTGTGTGACCCTGGGCAAGTCACTTCACTCCATTGCCTCACAAAAAAAAAAAGAGAGAAAAAAGGCCCACAGCGGCCAACAAGTCCAATCCATGCCCACAAAAGGATGCCCAGTATAACAAGCCCACCAGCTGGCCATCCAGCCTCCACTTGAAGACCTTCAGGAAGGCAGAGCTCACTATCCCCCTAGGCAGCCCATGCCACTTTTTGGACAGCTCTAATGGTTAGGAAGTTTTTTTTTCCTTGCTGTCAAGCCTAAATTTTCCTCATTGTAACTTCTGCCCTTTGCTCCCTGTTGCTCCTGATTGTTCTCTGGGGGCCAGTCAGAAAAAAATCTAATCTCTCTTCTATGTAGCAGTCCTTCAAATACTCAAAGGCAGCTAACATGTTCCCCCCAAGGCTTCTGTCCTGCAGAGTAAACATCCCCAGGCTCTTCATTGATATTGGGCTTAAGGCCTTTCACCATGTCCTCTTCTAGACATTCTTTGTTTTATCAATGCCTTTCCTGAACTTTAGTACACCGAGATGAACACAATATTCTGATGTGGTCTGATGAGGGCAAATTACAAGAGGGACTGTGATTTCCCTGTTCCTAAAAGATGTACAAGGTCATTTGGCCAAAGAGCTCATCTTCTTTGCCACCCACATTACGTGGCTTACTCCTCTTGAGATTGCAGTGCAGTAAAGTCCCCAGATATTTTTCAAAGGACTGTCTAACTATGCTTCTTAATTTCTGTACTTTTTGAAGTTAATTTTTTGAGCCCAAGTATATGGTTTTATCTCTGTTGAATTCTTTCTGGAACCTTTGTTCTATTGTTAACAAACTGTCCCTTATTTTAGACTTGTGTCTGCCATGCTATTTAGCCTTTAGGACTCTTTCCCATCTCTTCCCATTCATTTTCTATACAAATCCACCAGACATGCTGATGGCATTCTTACAGATCTCTTGACATGGACCAATGGAACATGCAGGATAGGGTAGTAGAGATGAACAATAGAGATGATTTATGTAAACAACTGTTAACACTACCTATAACTATTATTTTATTGTTCTGAATCTCAAAACTGACAAAGATAAAATGGAAAAGGGTTAATTTCATTAGTGAATATTAATGGAAATGGTAAATAAAATATTTGCAAATCAAATGCAGAAATATATTTTAAAATTACTTTTTATGATGAGCTATGATTTATACCAGAAATCTAAGGATGGCTTTCAATTTTAGGAAAATAATTAGTACAATAAATCCTGTTGAGAAATACCTCAAGACAGCCATGCTAATTCACAGCTGGTGGAGCTGTGAATTTGTCCATTGAGTCTGAAAACCGTTTGGAATTATGTGAGAAAAGTTACTAATTTGGCCAGAGCCAAGAAGGTAGAGTAGCAAGAAATTCAGCTGCTCTCCCCCTCATAATTCCTCTTTCAAACAGATCTAGAAAACATATCAGTCTGAATCTTGATCAGGAAATCTAAGAAAAAAATCAATGAGACATTTTTTTAGCCCAGGTTGGCATAGGGAGTCAGAAAGGTCTGTGGACACTGGGGACAACAGCCAGAAATGGCCACAAGGAATATTCCAGTGAAAGGGAAGACTGTGCTTCTAGCCTTGTTTGCAGTTCACAGGAATGACAGTGCAGGAATCACAGACCTAAGGAAGCATGCAATTCTGTCACTCTGAACCAGCAAAGCTTCTCATAGAGTTTCTCATAGTCTGTTCTTGCTCAGAGATAGATCCATGCCATGAACTTGCAGAACTCAGACCAGGGGGCAGCAATCAGACTTTGCTCTACAACAGACCACTTTTAGGGTATGAAACCTTATAGGTCCTCAACCTGAGCTGTTCCTGAGATTCTGGAATAACATAATACTCAGTACCCCCCAAAAAGCAGCAGCAGGATGAGTCCAGACCTTCCCTCCAGAAGTGTGCAGAGCCTGGCAGAGCCTTCAGGTTTGAAGTTAGGAAGTAGGTTAGAAGAATGAGCAAACAAAAAAGGAATCAAATAAGGTTCAATAATGACAGAGTTGCTCAAGACACAAACTCAGAAGAACATCTACAGACAAAGCCTTAAAGAAAAGTATAAGTTGTGCACAACTCCAACTGGAATTGCAGGAAGAGATAAAGGAAAAGGTTGTTTTTTTTTTCTTTTTTTAAGATTTAAATCATTGGTGTCAAACTCAAATAGAATCAGATCCCTGATATGCATATTGACTTAGAAAATAAGTTAAAATTATCTATGTTGTACTGCATTTTTATTTTGTTAAACATTTCCCAATTACATTAAAATATTTTTTTATTCATTTTGAACTTAAATATATAAAGATAAAAAAAGAACATTTCCATGTACACAGCACAACATAAAAAGAAGATTCACCATAAAACCATGAATTCAAACACTGTTTTTTAAAAACTGTATAAGTACTACAAATTGTTTTCAAAGCTACTGTGCTTTCTGTGTTTCCTTCTGTATTTTGTTTTCTGCTGTACACTTTTTATATTTTTTCCCTCCTTCCTCTCCCTGCCCTAGAAATGGCTACCATTACACACACACACACACACACACACACACACACACACACACGTATATAAAACCATACTGTATGTATTTCTGTTTATTGGTTATTGCTCTGGAGGCAGATAACATCTTCCTTCATAGGTTCTTTGTAGTTGATTTGAGTATTTATTATACTCAAAATGACTTAGTTGTTCTTAAAACAATATTGCTGTTACAGTATACAACATTCTCTTGGTTCTGCTCATTTCACTCTTCATTATTTCGTGCAATCTTTCTATGTTTTTCTAAAATCAACTCTTATCGCACAATAATATTCCACCACAATTATTCCCCAGTTGACAGGTGTCCCTGTTCTTTGCCACCACAAAGAGAGTTGCTATAAACATTTAAGAACATATAGGTTCTTTCCCTTTTTCTCTAATCATCTTGGGAAACAGACTTAATAATGGCATTGCGGGGTCAAAGGGTAGACAGTTTAATACAGGCATAATTCCATATTGCTCTCCAAAATGATTGGATTAGTTCACAGTTCCACCAACAGTGGATGTGTCTCAATTTTTCTACATCCTCTCCAACATTTGTTGCTTTCCCCTTCTGTCATTTTAGTCAATCTGTTAAGTGTAAAATGATATCTCAAGGTTGTTTTAATTTGCATTTCCCTGATCAATAATGATTTAGAGTATTTTTTCCATGTGACAATAAATCATTTTGATTTCTTCATTGGAAAACTGCCTGCTCATATCCTTTGATCATTTATCAATTGGGGGATCTCAATTAGGTTTTAATCTGGTGAGCCTGCATTTGACACCTCTGATTTAAATAATGTTTTTATCAATTAAATAAGAGTACTAGAAGAATAAATATTGGAAAAGATAAGAGTTATAGAACAAAGAATTGGAAAGGGAATTAACAGCTTGATAAAAGAGGTGCAAAAACTTGCCTAAGTAACAAACTCCCTAAAAATTATAATGGACCAAATAGAAGTCAATGATTGCATGAGAAACACAAAGTATTACAGCCAAAAGACTTTTAAAAAATAGAAGAAAAAGTATCTCGTAGCAAAAACAACTGATGTGGAAAACATACTGAAAAAAATTTAATTAGACTGCCTGTATGCCATCACCAAAAAAAGGGGGAAAAGCCTATACATCCTATTTAAAAAAAAAACCAACTATAAAAGTGCCCGTATCTCTTAGAACTAAAGGACAAAGTAAAAATAGAAAAATCCACTGCTCGCTTCTTGAAAGAAATCCCAAATTAAAACTCCTAGGAACATCATAACCAAAGTTCAGAGCTTTCAGGTCAAAGAAAAATTGCTGCAAGCATCCAGAAAGAAAAATGTATTCAGGTATTGAGGCACCGTAGTTAGGATCACACAAGATTTACCAGCTACCACAATTAAGGAACAGAAAACTTGGAATACGTTATTCCAGAAAGCAAAGGATATGAGCAACAACAACTTAGCCAGGAGAAAAATGAACCTTTAATGTAATTGAAGATTTCCAGGCATTCCTGATGAAAAGATTACAGCTTCATGGAAACTTTATGGTACAAACACAGGCAAACATTCATGAGCAGGCGTAAAGGACTAAACAAGGATAAAGTGCTTACATTATAATGTGAAGAAATGATACATGTGCCTTGTGAACCGTATTCTCGTCAGGGATCATTAAGGGGGTCTAATTAGATAAGGCTTGGAAGTGGTTCTGTTATGTCCTGATAATCTTAAAAGAACAATGGAAAAGGATGGGGAGAGGAATATACTTGTAGGGGAGAAGAAGAGAGAAGATGGGGAACATCTCAAAATTAGAATGCACAAATAGAAGTCTACGAAAACAGAGAAAGGGGTCAGGGAAGCAGGTGACATTTGAACCTTACTCTCATCTGAACTATTCAGAGCGGGAGAGGAATACATAAACACAAGTTGGATACAAAAATACATTTCACTGAACAGAGAAATAGGAGGGAAAGGGGAGAAAAGCGGGGAAGTAGGGAACAGAAAGAATAGATTAAAGGAGGTACTGGTCCTGAGCAAAACAGATCTAAGGATGTATAAAAATATAGCATCTTCTTTTTCAGTGGCAAAGAATTGGATACTGAGGGAGTGCCCACCAACTGAATGTCTGAACAAGTTGTTGTGTATCAGTTTAACAGAATACATTACAGTTTAATAGAATAAGTATTTCTTATCATGTAAGAAATGATGAAGGGGTTTTTTTTAGGCAAACCTGGGAAGACTTGTATGAACTGGTACAGAGAGAGGCAAGCAGAACCAGGAAAACAGTTTATATATAAAGTTACAACAATATGATAAAGATAAAAAATTTGAAAGACTTTGGAATTTTGATCAGCAGAATAACCAACCATGGATATCACAGAACTCATGAAGAAATATGGTACCTACCTCCCAAGAGAGAGGTGTAAACTCAGACTGAAGATTGAGATGAATTTTTTTGATCATGGCTTTTGTGGGAATTGATTTTACTTGATTGTAGATATTTGTAACAGTGGTTTTTTTTTTTCCCATTTGGGTTGGGGGGAAGGAGGGAGAAAAGGCAGATTTTTATTAATTAAAAATATAATTTTGAAAAATATTACTAAATTGTTTGTACCATTTGATCCAAATGCTGAATTTCTATTCAGCCAATCAACAAGGATTTTATAATGCCAGCAAGCCAAAATATCAAAATATTATGTACCAAAATGTTAACAGCATCATTTCTAATAGTAGTAATAATAATATCTACCATTTGTATAGTACTACCATGTGCCAGGCGTTGTGCTAAGTGCTTTACAAAGATTTTTACATTTTATTTTCACAACAGTCTTAGGAGGTAGGTGCTATTATTACCCCTATTTTATAGTTGAAGAAATGGAGACAAGCAGAAGTTAAGTGACTTCTTCCAGCTAGTAAGTGTCTGAGACTGAATTTGTCCTGAGGTCTTCCTGGCTCCAGGTCCAGTCCTCTGTCCACTGTGCCCCCTAGCTGCCTCTAATAAAAAAGCTGGTTACAAACTGTGTGTCCAGTAGTTGGGAAATGGCTGAACAAAATGGTATAGTAATTTAATAGAATATTTTTATAACTTAAGGAAGGCCTCCAGTATGTTGAATAGACCCCCTTTTGATGAATTTATGGAAGAACATGGATAAGAGTTACATAGAAGGGGAAATGTGGATGGGTTACGAAGGAACTTACAAATTAAGGAGCTCACAGATCCATTTGAGCGAGGAGTAACAAATATAAAGAATTTATAGAAATGTGAACAGATTTGTATGAACTGTTGTGAAGTTTAGAAAGCAGATACAACAATGTAAATGAGGACAACACTGAGAAGTACTAACACTCAGGTAGAACCAACTAGATAATATTGGTTCCAAATTATTAAAGTTAAAGCACATACCTTTTATTTTTTTAAAACTTTTAATTGAATTTTATTTTAGACTCAAACACCAGCACACAAATGCAAAATAGAGGAAAAAAATCATAAACTTAAATATTGGAACTTAATTACAAAGTAAGGAAAAAAAAGCATGTCATGTGCATAAGCAGAACATGAGAGAAGATTCAAAATATGTAACAATAAATTTTCATTTCAAGAAAACCCATAGGGTAAATACTACACATTGTGTTGAGAGCTGTCCATCTTTTCTTTGCTTGCGTGTAAGTTTTCTTTGGAGTTAGGAAGACAGGCTCAAGTTTTGCCTTTCCCATATGCGTCCTGTATGACTTAATTTCTCAGGGCCTCCAAGACTAGAGGTTGCAAAACACATACTGATCAGCATTGATGAGGAGAGTTCCAAATCAGAAGTTCTCTAACCCCATAAATTTACAGTGATCTGTACCCCCCAAAAATGACACATATGAAGAACACAAAGGGACATGTGAAGTAATGCTGAGTGCTAATAATAACGTTGTAATGAAGGTTGGGGAGTTGATCAAAATGACTCAAGTCTATTGATTTTCCCTTCACAGCTAATGAAATTACAACAAGGGGTAGATAACAGAAACAAAAAGATATTACAGTTGGAAAGTACAAAGAAGTTTCTATACTCTTACCCCTTTATGATGTATGAAGAATTTTTTCAGTCAGGTTTATGGGACTAGATTTGTGTAATCATCTCAACTTCCCTACTAGAATGTAAATTACGGGCAGGGACCAGTGTGGTTTTTTTTCCCCCTCTATTTATTCCCAGACCCTAGCATACATAATACCTTGTACATTGAAGTAGCTTGATAAGTATTTGTTGAAAGGCTAATATGGAAATATGTTTTCCATGGCTATACATCTATAATCTGTATCAGAGTGCTTGCCTTGTCAAGGAGAGCAGAAGAGAGGGAATAAGGGAGAGACATTTTAAAAATGAACGTTAACAATTGTTTTTGCGTGTGATTGGAAAAATATATAAAAATCTAAAAAATGAGTATTTGTGAAATTGAAGGCATATTTGTATAATAAAACAATATTAAAGCAATAGAAACACTTGAATAAGGAAACACTTTTAAAGGCATACTTATATAAGAATTAAAAGCAGCTTAAGTCCAAATCATTGAATAGCATGGTGAAAAAAATCTTTAATTGTAATTGAAAATATTTAAGTCAAATTTGAAAGCCTTTTTTCTGTATATGCAAAGAAAACTCTGAAGGTGTGGATGGAGGTGGCCCTAGGGTCTCAAAGACAATTCCACAAGACCAAAGTACTGACACACTGAACCAAGTGTAAGCTCTTGAGGTGCAGACTCAGCAAAGGACTCAATACCTAAATATCAGTCAAGCTAACTTCAGAGATGTATATCACGAGGTTGACTGAAAGAGACAGCTTCTAAGAACTATACAGTGCTTAGCACATAGTTTATGCTTAATGTTTATTGACTGACTAAATGACTAAGACCTATGATACCCGTATGGTATCGTCACAGACTTTTGAAGTGCTTGTTAGATGTATAACTAGATGAAGAAATATAAATACATAAAGAAAATCATTGGTATTATATTTGTACCATGTCCTGAGTTGTCTGTTTCATTTATACTGTCTCATTATTAAAAGTCTGCTTCCAAGTCTTTAAATGTCATGGTTTTCCCAGTTTACATAATAATTGACACATCATAAACAGATCAGAATGGTTTATTCTTTGCTTTCTTTTTCCTGTTGCCACCTCCTGTCCAGTTTATCATATTAATTAGGAAAAACAATCCTTGTATAAATTGTCATCTATATAGTCTAGTGTAGAGATCACCAAATCCAACCAGCTTCCTGGTTGGTACTGCCCATGAGCTAAGGATGGTTTTTTTTTTTAATTTTTAAAAAATTTTTTCATACAACAAAACTTTAAAAATGTAAAACATATTTTTAGCTCTCTGGCCATACCAGTGGGATTTGGCAAACTTGCCAGTTAATGGAAATGACATTGAACTGAATCCAATATGGATTCTAGGACTTTATTGTTTTGCTCTATTTACTTCTGTGATCTTGGATAAGTAACAAATCTCTGAGTCTTAGTTTTGACACCTATAAAATGAGTAGTTTAGACTGAAGCTTCTCACAATCTTTTTCCGCTCTAAAAAGATACAATTCTATCAAGAGCCTTTTTATATGTTAGGTTTATGGAAGAGATCTTCTTAGGTCTTAGGGTCATTTATTCTATAATACTTAATTCTCAAATAACTATTTTTAGTTATGTACATTTCAAACACTTTTAAAGGTTAAAACTACCAATTGTACTGAATCTGAATTTGATGTTTATAATTTTATATTTTACTGCTTGAGAATTTTATAACATTTCAATTGCTATTAAGTATATAATTAATATGTTGCAACTTCTTTTAAAGGACCTTTTAATGAAACTGCTGGCAAAAATAGACAGATGCTGCCTGGGGGTAGTAAAATGATGTCAGCTCTACAACAAGGTTTCTTTGAGCCTCAGTTTTTAAGAATATTTGAAGGTGAGGGCTACGTAAATCTGAATCAAGTAAGGAGGCGATATATGTTACAAGAAGCCAAAAAAAATTTAAGCAAACCCTTCCTTCCCAGTAATGGAGAAAAAAAAGCGTAAGTGTTGGGGGGAAAAATCTTTTAAATGAAATTATAGATTTATTTTTGCTCAGTTATTCTTTTTCCTAAGACTTGCTTATGCATTTTTTTTGTTTCTAGATGTAATTCTTAAAGTTAATTTGAATTTTGCAGCTTATTGATTCCAGGTTCATATCAGTTCCAAATGAAGTAGATCTTAATCATTGGACAGGGAGACACTTTGAATAATCAAGAACTCACACTCATCCTTTCTTTTCATTATCTAAGCAATTCAAACACACCAAAATTTGGATAGGTTGGTGTTTGAAATAGACTTGAGGTGTCCTGTTTCTTTTTGAGCTCCATTTAAGTGCAGAAACCTTCACAATTAAAAGGTCAGTAGAAAAAGTATTTTCATCACTGCACAGCATTGAGGAACCTTATATGTACACACATACACATGGACCCAGCCCTCACTCAAGTCTCACATTCTCACTTGTCCCCCTTTACCTACAATCTCAGTCACACTCCCCACCCCACACTCTTCTCACAAACCATTCTAACTTCTGTTGTTTCTCAGAAATACATGTAGATCATGTACCACAAAGACCAGATGGTCTCCTGATGTGCATATTTGGCTATTTTTGATCACTGATCTACCTCAACAAGAGTAGATCTCAGAGGTGTCCTGTTTTGAGGGTAGAACCAAGAGGAAGCAGTTGAACCTTAAGGGAAAAAGATAGTTGAAATGAGACTACATCTTAGGGAGGCTTTAAAAAGCTCTTTCTCCTTCAGCCCTGTGGCCACACAAAGTGAATCTAAATATAATATGATTTGCATTTGGTTTAATTCTAAAATATGAGATAAATGTCTAAGAATCCAGAAAACTCAATTATCCACAAAAAAATTTCTAAGCTTAACGTGACTTTTCCCTTTTGCTCAGCATCCTTAAAAGATTGTCAGTTGCACATAGTTTGGAGAATTATACGCAGAACCCCCATGTAAAACAATTCAAAGTAGTAATCATATTTGATTGAATCCATTCAGTCAAAGGGCTGCACTTGAGGACCTAGAGGGCCACATGTGGCCTCAAGGCTGCAGGTTCCCTACCTCTGGCTCCAGCATCACTGACATAAATGAGGTGGTTTGGAACCTTGTAAAAATCAAATTGTTGGAAAGAAAAATTATTTGCCTTATTTCATCTTTATAGTTTATTAAGTTTTTTAAAATAAAAATATGTTAAGGAAAAAGAAAAATCAACTTTCTGGCAAAAAAATTATTTTAAAATGTAGTTTAATTTACTAACTAACATTAGTGCTATTGTAAGATTTTTAAAAACACTTATTTTATATGAAAAAAAACCTATTTGTTTAAAGAGTAATTTATGCTTCACCTTTAATTCATAAACCTAAAGCAGTAGCAATAGTGTGATGCTGTAGAAAATGAGCTGGGTTTGGGGGTAGGGTTTGCACTCAGATCCCAGTTCTGCCACTACTACCTATGTGGTCTTGGTAGTCATTTTATTTCTCTGACCCTCAGTTTCCTCATGAATAAAACAAGGGGGATTGGACCAAATGACCACCACAACTATGGATGCTGCATAACTGATGTACCAGTAAGATATTCATTCTTTTACATTCGTGTTCATGTTCAGTTGTCTGATCATGTCCGACTCTTGGCTAAGATGCTGGAGTGGTTTGCCATTTCCTTCTAGAGCTCATTTTAAAGATGAGGGAACTGAGGCAAACAGGGGTAAGTGACGTGCCTAAAGTCACACAGCTAGTGAGTTAGTGAGGCTAGATTTGAACAAAGGAAGATGAGTCCTTCTGACTCCAAGCTTGCCACTCTATTCCCCGTGCCACCTAACTGCTTTTTCATTTGGTCTACGTTAATTCTAAAATTAGGGTTGCTCAGAAAGTATAGGTTGTAGCATGCTTATATTGTGAAAAAAATAGATTAAGAAACACTTTTCTAGTTATTATGTATACTTGAAAGTATTGAAACTGTGTCTTCAATATACAGTCACTGAGATTTTCTGCTAATTTAGTTTAAATATTGTATTTCTTGTTCTCTTCATATTTAGTCCAAGTTTATGGTTTTTCTACTTTATTCATGAGAATTGAGGAGAACAGGTTTCCTTTTCTTTGGTCATAAATCTCAAAATTCCTGTATTCCTCCAAGTTCAAAATTAATTTGAATTTTCTGTTTTCTTTATTAATCTTTAGTTCTTAAACCATTTTACTTTTTCTTCAGATGAAAACTCACATTTACATGTCCTGTTCCTCTTGGCCAACTTTATGCCTTTTTCTTCCTGAATAGATATTTTGTTGATTTCTAGCTTTTTTACCCTCCATATTACAATGGAATATAATGATAAATTTTAGAAAAGTACTTATTAATTGTAATTTTAATTTATGGTAATACAGAAACTTTAAAAAACCCAAATAAGTAGTTATTAATATATCAGTCCTATTCATCAAACCAGAAAGGATTTTCATGAATAAGGGAGAGCCTCAGGCAAATAATGGAATGAGAAGTTATAAGGGAATTTATCTCTTTAATATTTCCCCTCAAAAACAGAAGTAGAAATGTCGAAACCAAGCAAAAATGCAAGAAATTCTCAAAAGTAAATTTAAAATATATTAAAAAAGAGAGCAAACCAAAGAAAAACTTGGGGTAAATGAAAAAAAATGTATTTAAAGAAGCTAAGGGAAGTATTCCAGAAAAAAAAACAACACAGCACATGGAAAGAGTATCAATTATAGAATTAGAAACAAAGCTGGAATTTTCTTAGGACATCAAAATGGAATTTAAAAAAAGACATGAAATTAGCAAAAATAGCATGAGATGAAATAAGAAGGAATTGGTGCGATATCAAGAGAAGATGAAATGCAATTGTGGATAAATATTAATGTAAAATATAAAAAAAATGCCATAAAATTATTTTATTGGAAAACTGGATGAGGAACATAGGAAGAAGGAAAAATAAGCAACTTAGTAATTGGATAAAATAATGACAAAGTGATTTCTGGAAGAGAAAAAGAGAAAATTGAGAATGACCAGATTTCCTGAAAATCATTTAGAACATTTTTGGAAATTGTAAAATTTCCTGACAATATTGAAACAAGTGAAATATTATAAATATAATGAACAAGACTTCAAGAGGGGTGAGTTCCAGATATAGCATTATAAATTTTGAAAACAACAGCTACAAGGAAATACATTTACAAATGTCCTAGAAGAAAATCATAGGTTAAAGTCCTTCATTTTTTGCAGTATTTTCTATAAAAATAAGAGACAATATAAGTTGGAATATTACATATCCATTGTCAAGAGATATGAGACTTTGTTTCCAAATTTTCAGCACGTGCAGGGATTCTTTTAAAAGACAAAAGATATACATGAATTTAAACAACTTACAGAGACAAGAAGTATTAGATTTTTTGAGAGAAAGGCAGAGAGAAAGATTACACAAAACCTCTGGAATGGATCATCAATGAATACTTAATTGTTTACTGTCAATGAAATAACTGTAGGAAATATTTTAAAATTAGTTGAATTGTTTTTTTTTCATTTTCCATTTCTTCTATTTTGTTTATTTCATTATTTTATTCTGAACTTATCAAATACCCCAAAATGAGCATTTCTAAGTACAAAGAACATAAAAAGAGAATTGTATTTGTAGCCATTCTATACCACTTTATTTCTAAAAATGTCTTTCCATGTCTTTTTGAAATAATTTATTCATTTCTGATAGCATGAGTACTCTGTCCCATTCATATACTGTAACTTGTTCAGCCATTCCTCAGATAATGTACATCATTTGAGTTTCCAGTTCTTTGCCAAAAAGCTGCTTTAAATTTTTTTGCCCATAAAGGACTTTTCCCTTTATTTTTGTATTCTTTTAGGTATAGGTCTAGCAGTGGTATATCTGGGTTGAAGACAAGCAGTGCTTAGTATCTTTTTGTATATAATTCCAAATTGCTTTCCAGAATGGTTGTCCCCATTCACAGGACCATCAACATCAACATGCCTGTTTTCCCACAGGCCCTCCAACATCTTATCTTTTTTTCTTTAGGTCATCTTTGCCACTCTGATGTTTCTGAAGTGGAATCTCGAATTGCTTTAATTTATATTTCTCTAGTTAATAGTGATTTGGAGCATTTTTTCATATATTTATAATAACCAGTATTTCCTTCTGGTAGAATTGTCTGTTCGTGTCTTTAAACTATTTATCAATTGAAGAATGACTTTTTTTCCCCTTATTTCTTCTTTTACTTCTTCTTATTTTTCCCCAGTTACATGTAAAAACAATTTTTAACATTCATTTAAAAATTTTTGAGCTTCAATTCCTCTCTCCTCACCCCCTTCCTCATCCCCATAGAGAAGGCAAGCAATTCGATATAGGTTATACATGTGTAGTCATGCAAAAATTTTCATAATAGTTATATTGTGAAAGAAAACACAGACAAAAAAAAAACCTCAAGAAAAAGTTCACAGGTATACTTTAATCCATATTTGAACACCATCAGTTCTTTCTCTGGGGATGGAGAGCATTTTTCATAAGTCCTTCAGAGTTGTCTTGGATCATTGTATTGCTGAGAATAGGTAAGTCATTCAGAGCTGACCATCTTACAATATTGCTGTTACTTTGTAGATAGTACGTTTCATTTTGAATCAGCTCATGTTTTCCAGGTTTTTCTGATCATCATTTTTCTGATTATCACCTGATCTTGCTCATCATTCCTTATAGCACAATAGTATTCTATCATAATACATATGACAGTTTGTTCAGTCATTCCATAATCGATGGGTATCCCTTCAATTTCCAGTTCTTTGCCACCAGAAAAGAGCTACTATATATTTTTTTACATATAGTTTCTTTTCCTTTTTGTTTTTTATCTCTTTTGGGATACAGACCTAGTGGTATTGCTAGGTCAAAGGGTATGCATGGTTTTAAAGCCCTTTGGGTATAGTTCCAAATTGCTCTACATAATGGTTGAATCAGTTCACAACTCCGCCAACAGTACATTAATATC